TCACCTATATAAAAGTTGTTTACATTATTAAAAATTATTTAAGAATCATTATCAAGTTAAATGGATACCGCTTTTACAAAAACTGTTCAAAATTGTCCCCATTTGTTCGGTTAACGCAAAATCTTGCTCGGCGAATCCACGACCCTTTACTTAGAATTTACTGCTCCATTATGATTCCCAACTCTTTCAAATAGCCCCACAGAAAAAAATCGCAAGGCGTTAAAAATCCGGAGAGCGAGCAGGCCAAGAAATGGGTCCATTGTGCCCTATACATCTATTCGGAAACTCATTATTTAGATGTTCATGAACTTCTCGTCTAAAATGTGGTGGAATCCCATCTTGTAGGAAACACAAATTCTGCCTCACATTTAGAGGAACACCTTCTGGTAATTGTGGCAGACTGTGTCAAAGAAAATCTAAATAAATTTCACTGTTTAGTCGAGGTGGAAAAAAGTAGGGTCCAATAAGAATACCATTTACCACGCCAGCCCAAACATTTAATTAAAATATATGTTGAAAATGAGCTCTTTTTACAGCATGTGGATTTTCTACTGCTCAAACATGATTGTTGTGGAAATTTCGTTCTAAATGTGGCCTCGTCTGTACACAAGATTAATTTCGTAAAATCTTCATTTCTGCCGAACTGTTCTAAAAGCCACTGGCAGAATGCAACTCTTCTAGGATCATCTTCAGGCTGTAACGCTTGCACCCGTTGATAATGATAAGGGTAATACTGTTCTTGTCGAATTGTCTCCCACACTTTACTATGAGAAACTTCAACTTGAGCTGCAATGGCTCTAGTACTCACTGTTGGGTCGTCTTCGACCATTTATAAAATGTCTTCCTCAATTTGTAACATTTCAGGTTGAGCAGATTTTCCAGCATGACCTCCTAGTTGTTCTTTTAAATATCCTGTGTCACGAAGTCTAATAACTAAATCTACAAACATCCGTGGGGCCGGATGATTTCTTTCCGCATACAACCTGCATGCTGCGGCTGTACTTTGTGGGCACTCTCCGTATGTTAGTATTATGTCCACTAGTTCATTGTTTTCGTAAACATGGACCATTTTTTCGCACAAAATAATCAGACAAATGAAAGTATACGCACTATTGAAGGACTGATACAACTGATCGTACAAAGACTCGTACTGAAAACCACACAATAACACTAAAAGTTTGTCAAAATTAGAAAAACAATAATAGTGAACAAAAAACGTTAGGATTTTACATGGCAGTGGTCGAGGATATCAAAAAATCTGTAATAACGTTCTTATTTTTAAAATTTCCAATCATTTACTATTTCTTTCACTATGCAACTTTTATATAGGTGATTTTTGGTATATCAACTAATTTTGAGGATTCCTACAAACAGTCAAAATAAATGACTCAACTTTGAATATACTGTGCGTTGACGGTTGACAACAACTTTTATAGTTTTATGAAATATATATAATATTCTGATCATGATAGAAGCACTATTTTATTTGTCGATTTAAAATCCGTGGTGCACATGTCCCCAGGGACTTCACCATCATCTAAGGCCCAGTTTTTCAATCGCATGTTAACTTTCAGGTTGGGCAACTAGAACTTGGAAGTCAATTATCAGTTGTCCGTGGGCTATGGCTAGGGGGTATGTTGTGAATAGAACCTACGGAGTTTGAGGACGACGATTTCCATCTCTGGGCATCGGTTCAGAGTCAATGTTACAACCGTATCAATACTTATTTTGGAAATTTGTGAAGCAGATTGGGACAGGTGGTACAAGACAGTAGTTAAGCGAGTGATATCTGTAATGTACCAATAACATGCGCGCAGGATGCAGATGCCGAACGCACAGAACAGGATATCTAAGAACCGCAGACGCACAGTTGCAACTGGTAACTTAGCCGGCGCTGTCAGAATACTTGAAAAAAAATTTCGAGCAAAAAGTTAACCAACCTGGAAGTTAACTTGCGACTGAGAAACCGGGCGATACAGGCATTTCGTGTTTCTCTTTTTCCACCAGTTTACAGTCTGCTTTTTATATATCCTGATAAAATTTTACGTGAACCACTTTAGCATTTAGCATATGTAACTTGATCATCGTTAAATTTCACCACAACATTATACCAATTTTTAATGATATTATACAGGTTTTTTCGAAAAAATGTCACCTTGGCACTAGCTCTCATTCACTTAATGTTGACTTATAGCTGTGTGTGTTTTGCCTAAACGACATGATGCTTGAGCTATACGAGTTGGTTCTGATGTGATGTAACATATGCTTCAGAGATGGGACTATTGGAGACCATTTATAGCTCCTATTAGGGAATGCAATCTCGATCTCGAGAATCCGCGAGTCCAAATTTTTCGAGACTGATTCTCGTACAATTTTCGAACGAGATCTCGCGAGGCTGACCGAAGCAGCAGCATCATTAATATGTATCATAACGCATTTGCGCGCGAACCCACCCGCGAACTGAATCCCTGCAGCGATGTGCGCATGCACTTATTCACGGCGCGGTGCGGAAAGTAGAATGGCGGAGGACGGGGCTCGGTAGGGTTATTACGTAAAAAAGTGTAAAAAAAACGATAAAATGACAACTTGTTGACTTGATAGTTCCTAGTGTGCAAATAGTTCATTCCGCGTTTGCTCGCTGTGAGCGTCACCAAAAGCGACATATATGGAGGACTGACTCGGTGACACGCTCAATGACTATGTTGCAAGTTAGTTCCCCAGCATGCTTTGTTGGTTGCAGAATATAGAGATAGTTTTTAGAGTATATCTCTGAGAAGATATGACAGAAAGAAAATTAGATGAGTAGCAAGATCACTTTGGATGATTGTGTGTATTGGACTGCATGTGTTTAAAATCAGAAGTATTTGCTATGTGAGAAAATTATTACTGAATATGGTGTCCTTGAAGTATATCTTTTATATGTACTAGACAGGTTTTTTGTGTGTTCCTTTCTAAAGAGATGTTATATCAAAGTTATAAATCATTATTTTCCCAGTTTTTTTGCATTCTCAAAGTTTTTGAGTTTGTGTTGTCCTTTCTGAAGAGATGTTATATCAAAGTTATAAATCATGATTTTCCCAGTTTTTTCTGCATTCTCAAAAACTCACATAAAAATTAAGAATGACGCATCACACACAAAACATTTGATTTGTATTTTCTGCTTGCATCTCGCAAAATAAATTTAAATGGCTGTAAAGAAAAAAATAATGTAGAACCTAATAATTTTTTCATGTTTCATAAATATTCCTGTCTGTAGCATATTTTCACATCTGTTATTTAATATACTTCACCAACCAGGGATTTTCATTTATATCTCATTTTTGAAATTCAGCAAATTTGCATATGTAATTTACAGGATGAATAAGAAAAAGTAAGTATTTCTAGCTTCGCATAAATCTCAAATAAGTGTATTTAAAACAAGAAACCAATGGAATTACCATCAACACAGATTATTAGCACACAAATTCTCACTATGCATCTATGCACTGCCGTTTTCTTCCAGTTATAGTGTACAACTTATAGCTTAGACCTCCAATAATGCCATATCTGGAGCAGCAAACATTGATAGCTGAAGCGTCATGACGTTTAGGCAACACTTAAAGTTACAGAACGGGTGCACATGAAGTGAACAACAACAAATTATAAGTTGACAACTTGTAGAAAAAGCTACATGTCACAAAACAATTATATGAATGAAAGATATGTAATACCCCTACCGCTCGCTGTCATTGTCTCTATTCGTGTTGGGTGAGCGAATATAGAATGTAGAATACGTTAATCAATGCCAATACATACAAGCATACAGATTACATATCATAATACTCGACCACATTTTCTTCATCACATCTTGTTCACAAGTATATTATTTAGATTAGACTATCTCGGCAGCTTGCAAACCACAAAAGATGCTGGCGAAATGTGAGTTGCAGAATCTTAAGCAACATGGTCGCTGAACCATCGGGCCATAGGCGGCGCTCACAGCGAGTATGCGTGGAATGAACTACTTAGTACACAACCCCTGCGGGTTATGTACAGCACAATGATGCCGGGGGATATATAACACACAGGAAATAAACTACGCTATCCTACCAAGCGGCAGATCCAGCATTTGTGATTAAAAGGGGGTTAGTCACAGTGGCAGGTTAAGGAAGCTGTCCACAGCGATAGTCACAGGCATGGTAAGTCAACTTATATGGGATGGGAGTATTATGTAACGCATGATGTATTAAATTAGCAAATACTCCTCCCGCAGTTAATATGAGAACACAAGTAAGTGACCATGCAACTACAAATGCATGCTTTACATACTGGCCTAAACATGATGGTGTTCATTGATTAATTCTGTGCCTTGAAACCTGGACGCCAATTCTTGAACAATGGGACAAGAACAAAAATATATTTCTAGGAACTATTTTTTAACACAGAGAAGAGTCGTACCTCTAGTCATTCTCTTGACGAACAGTAGAAGAATGAGGGCAGAAGTCTCGCCGTTGTCCCTCAGTCTTATCTCTAAAGACGAGTTAACCTTATGATGGTACATTTAATGATATGAAAAACCTAGGAATATATTTGGTACATTCAGTTTTGAAGAGCGAACGATGCCAAAACCGTTCTGAACTGTCAGTAAGTACTCACAAAGCTGTCTGAATTCACAATAACCAATTACGTGGAATCAGAACGGTTAAGGGATAGTTCCTCGTAAAATCCGAATTAGTTAAACGTCAAGACATATGTCAAAAGCTGTCAGAAATAGTAAATGGACACTTGAACTAGATATCATACTCGCTCGTTTACAAGAATTGGTGTCGTGAGTTTTCATATTACTCACTTGCTGTATCCTGCGGAGTAACAGGTCTCTCAATCACCCTCTCAAGTACCTCGATCCAGTGGTCTCTTTCATGTTCACTTTGTGCGGATAAATTGTATGTACGCTCTGGTGTTGTTAGCGAAAAGGAGAAGCCTTGGTCCTTCACTCCTGCAACCACTCCTATCCTAACACTGTAACCATCTAAAGCGTGGCCTATAGGTACAGAAAATTTAAGATCACTATGACTGAGTGTTCCACACAACATGTCACAGAAAAAATGAAATGCACTGAAGCATCATCAGATTGACACTTTGTAAACGTCACTTGGAGCTAAGATACATTTCATAAAGAGGCTAAAATCCTTAAGAACTGAACAAATTTTCTAATGGTATACGAACACAAAGTACGCGGCGCTGATGACACGCTGGTAGGGCCGTTCCTACGAACAAACTGAGGCTCGACATCATGACCGCCAAGTTAGGTCTTCATTCACAATCGTTTCATCATAACACCATGCCATTTGGAGCGATAGTGTAACGTGTGATCGACACTAAGTCAATGCGGACACGCTAAAAGGGCCTCACACTTAACGTTCCTATTCTGTGTTAGAGGAAGACAAGGCCACAGCACTTAGGCTGGGCCTCTTGTACGTCCGCCCCAGCCCCAGGGGTCTCTGGAGGCTGGATCGTCAGCCACCCCAAACTGTTGAAAAAGGTTATGTGAGTCAGTGGAGTTTCCCTTACGCTAGCCATAGAGGCCAGCGCACCCCCAGAGTGGATTCTCGGATTGATAGGACAAAGCAAGTGGTTGACTGTCTCATCTTCCTGTTCCAAACCTCTACATAAGAATGTCTCAATCTAATGTCACAGAGATGTTTCCTGACAGTGTCCAGTCGCAAAACCTGTGGCAAACTGTTGTCTGGGCATAGACAGGTAGTGTTTTGCAACTAACTCATTAGAACAGCTAAGGTATTCTTTAGCAAATGAGCAGTCTGACGTAACATCCTTCATATTCTTGAAGACTTTGTGAGTGTGCTCTTTTAGCATAGTTGTTAGGACTCTGATGGATAAAATGCAGAGGGGCTCTGGGATTAGAATTCTGGTAGCAGCACCCCTTTTTACCAGTCTATCAGCTATCATATAACCATTGGACTGTGAATGACCCTTCACCCAGGCAATAGTTATGTTGTTACTGGTTGAGGCATTCACAAATGCGAAATGGCAGCCTATTGCTCTCGTAAGCTTGGAACAACTGAGAGTCAGTACTGCCTAATATTTTTGACTGTAACATTCTTGCGCGCAATTTTCTTTGCAGCTAAGGTTATGGAAGCTAATTCGAACTGCGTCACGCTGACAGGATTAGACCACTTGCAATTCATAAGGAGGCTTCTGGAGTATACAGCTATCTCCATCATTTTTTGAGATGTTAATGACACATTCCTTGATCTGCTTCCCAACTGATTTGAGGCTTACCATTGTTGCCAGAACCACTTGTTCCAGATAAAGTTCAACATCACTTCCATTGCTATCGCTGGTGTTGGTCGCATTTGACCAGTTATGCTAAGGCATGCAGACCACTGTATCTGGCTTAGCAGTAGTTTTATGGTTGTCTGTTAACATTTGGTGACCAAAGCTCAGCTGCATAGGTCAATATTGGTCTGATTATGGCGATATATATCCACATAGCAACTTTGGATCTCAATGTTTTGCCGATAATACTTCGGAATTGCTCATAAGATATTTGTGCTCTCTTTAATCCTCTTTCCTGTATAATCCGAAGGGCTCGTTGCGGACGTTCATAAATGATGCATTTGAATCTGCCGTTAAGCAGTACTGAGACATCGTCTACGTAGGCTATTCGGTAGATAATCCCCCATGCTTGTCTGGCCAATAAAACCACATGTATATGTTCTTTTCTGTAGTAAACGTTTCAATCACAAAGGTGATCTTCTTCAGCACAATGACAATATATTTGAATTATCTGTCTTCCAGGAGGCAGATCGTATGTTTGTTTTTTTTGTATCACATTTCTAAGGAGGGCTGGACGTTCTTTTTTGGTAACAGGAATATCTACCCCAGGCGGTCGTGGGCTATGCTGGTTTTGCGTGGTCCCGTCCTAAATTAGGAATGATAACTTCGCGCAATCTCAGCAAGTTGCGGGACTTTCAGACATTTGTCTGCCACCTGGAAGACAGATAAATCAAATATATTGTCAGTGTACTGAAGATCACCTTTGTGATTGAAACGTTTATTACAGTAAAGAAGTCAATAAATGGAGTGTTATTGGCCAGACAAGCATGGGAGATTATTGACATGTGAACCTCAGGATAAGTTTCAGCTTGACCAGTATGCTGTCAAGAACAAGGTTCCAAATCGCGAGAGGACTTCGCCCTATATGCAGCCTCTTGTTACCAAGCTCCTCGTAAAATATTCTACACTGACTTCTGCTACTCTTTTGGACAGTAGTGGGAACTCCCTCATCTGATAACGCTCATGTGATTTTCTGGAAGGTAGTTTTATCGAAATGCATCTTCTATATATAAGAGTATATATGAAAACACCCAAGGTGGATTCTTTAATGTCCAATGTCCAATCGTTCGCAACACTGCCAAGCAGTATCAGCGGATTTGCCTGGTGTGTATGCATGTTGATTGTGATGCATAGGGTTGTTCTCTAAATGTTCTATTGTTTCTTCGTAAAATATGTCTTTCAAATTAAAATTTCATAGAAGCGTTTAAAAACTGATAAAATGAACCTTGAATGACATTTAAATATTAGATAATTTGAAGAATATCCTCCATCAAATTTCTCAAATATTATATTGTAATGTGTTAACATTTCCCTTAATTTATATATAAATATAAATTAAGGGTATTAAAATACGGCTGAAAAGTTATATATTCTTTAAAACTTGGAAAACTGATATACTCATAAACCCATTGTTTTTTGAACGAGGGATGTCTTTTAAGTTTTGCATATAGAAACATAGTGCGCCGCGCGGATCTAAACGTCAGTACTGAATCTTAACCTCAGTCTTTATTAAACTTAAATTCAAAGTTTCACAACAACCGAGAACATTTGCGCGCCATAATTTATTACAACTTTCAGATACAATTATCGCAACAAGAATGCTCTGCTGAGTTACTGTCTGTTTTCGGCAACGAAGCACCACATCAGTCGACAATTTCCCGTTGGTATGGAGAATTCAAACGTGAGTCTTAGCGACGATCCCAGGGTGGGTGCACCAAAAACGGCAGTCATCCAGGAAAACGTCGATGCTGTGCGCAAACTCATCATTGAAGATAGTTATGTGACATATCGCGAGATTGAGGCGTCCTTGAAGATCTCAAAGACCTCAATCCAAAAAATTTTACACGAAGAATTAGGAGTAAAAAAATTAGTTTCTGGTTAATTGGTGTCAAAAACGCTTGACCGTTTCAATTCTGGAAACTCAAAAAATGTGTACAGCATTGTTAGTGGTGATGAATCGTGGATTTACTGTTATGAACCAGAAAATAAACGACAGTCGGCTGTTTGGGTGTTCCAAGGTGAAGAAAAGCCAACAAAAGTCATCCGTTCTCGAAGTGTTTCGAAAAAGATGGTCGCGACATTTGTGTCAAAAGCGGGTCATATTGCAACAATTCCTCTTAATGAGCAAAGAACTGTTACTACGGATTGGTATACCACCATTTGTTTGCCAAAAGTTATCACCGAACTTTGAAATATCAACCCCGAAACAAGAATCATCCTCCACCAAGGCAATGCAAGCTCGCACACAGCCCAAAAAACAAGGCAGTATTTAACGGAAGAAAACGTGGAATTATTGGACCATCCTCCATATAGTCCCGATCTAAGTCCTAACGATTTCTTTACTTTCCCGAAAATTAAAAACAGACTGCGTGGTCAAAGGTTCCAGTCACCAGAAGAAGCAGTTGACGCATTCAAAAATGCCGTTTTGCCAAACTAGTGGAATAAGTGCTTCGAAAATTGGTTAGACCGCATGCAGATGTGTATTAATCGTGGAGAATACTTCGAAAAACAATAAAGTCATTTAGAACTACCTATCGTGATGTTTTATTTCCATATGCAAAACTTAAAAGACATCCCTCGTATTCAACTACTAGCTCAGCGTGTCTTGTGCTCGATAATTTGCAAAAAATTACCTCCAACTTTCGCGCTAATTCTATCTTTATCAACATTACTTGAATTTAAAAACGTCACCAACCTACAAAAATTTCTCCTTTAGGATTAGCATCCAATGGTTCATCATGGTACATCAACTTCCTATTATCCAAAGTGAACCATCTTTTTCTAAAACCATCACTTAACCGTGGACCAGTCTTCCATAACCAACCTTCTTTAGCAAAGTCTTCAGTAAGATGATGTACAAGTTCACTTTCACTGGCTGAAGGATATGCCACCTAATATATGTTAATTTTTAATAATTTACACTGGTAAAATGAAACTAAATTATCAACATACAAAATACTGTAATAATTGAGGAGAAAAAATTCACCAAAAATATCTTTCATTAAACCATTGTATGCGGTAATACTATATTATTTTTAAATGACTGTCACTGAAATTCTTTTTTTTAACATTTATTTACGCCTTTAGTTTGAAAAATTGGTGCTCTACCCATTCAACAAGCATCAAATCTATTTTTGCTGCACTATAAATCTAACTCAATATACACGGACCCCAAGAAACTGGAATGTTACTAATAAATAACAACGTTAAAATCTGAACCATTTCCATTACCTGTAACCTATGTAGCTTTGCACATCGCACAGCCATATACCAGTTTGTTATAACTTCTCCTTCATCATGATAAACATATATGTGTCGAGTTGAACCATCTTTTAGAAAGGTAAGTTGTAGTGAATTTGGATACCTGTGAAATACAAAAGTCAGTTATCACGGGAAAATAATGTCTACGAGATGTGCACTGCTTTTTTAGGGACTGTTCTCAAAGAAAGCAACAGGCAACTGCAACCCGACTCGGCACATGTAGTGTTCAAATACAAGCGTCTCACACCAAAGAGACGGCAACATGACCTGTTGTTGAAGGGTTGGTGGGACTGCCGTCGTTCGTCGGTTTGCAGCGGTTGAAAGATTCATCTGCGGATGTCATTGTGACATTTCAGCTAATGTTCTGATCGTATTCTCAAATTATTATTGATAATCGGGTGGTGGTAGTTATTGTAGTAGACATTTATTCACTCCATTATATAAGAACTACTTCATCATCTTTTTATGTTTTTTTGAAGTGATTCAGTTGAAATAGCAATATTGAAAACCTTCCAAGAAAGCTACAGTTGAGGCTAGAAGTGTGACAAGCGAGTTAACAGTACCTGAGGGATCATCAGTCATAAGAAATATGATAACATACATGATGTTACTTTCCTCAGATTATATTTTTTATGTATATGCCTTTTGGTGAATAAAAAATAATACACTATGTTGAACTGACTAGATTTGATTTGTGAAATACGTTACTTATATGACTTTTCGTACAATCAGGATTTTTAAGAATAAAAATAGTTAATGTATGATCAGTCTTCATATTAAGAGGTATATGGTCAGTAGCTCTAGCTACAAACCTGAAAAAAAGACCGCCACTTGCTTGGCAGTAGCTTTAGTAGCATTTGATTAATGTTTCTATTTTCTTTAATAATAAAAAAGTTACCCAATCTTATCTGGTGCAAAAACAACGTTCAATTCAGATATCCTCAATATAGCCTTGGGCTCCTTGTTCTCTCTGACAAAGTATTTGAGGGTGTCATCAGTCTCTGAAAGTACAAACTTCCTTGCTTGATATTTGCTATCTTCTTTCCCACGTTTCATCAGAAATCCTTGCATATATCCACTGGTATACACTTGTCTGGCAGGGTGACAGAACTCTTCTCGCTCGTACTTTGCGCGAATCCATTGTTCGATGAGTACTCTAAAGAATATAAGTTAAACTTCCTCAGTTATGAAATATGACTTGTTAGATTCACCAGTTTTTCAATCCGCATTAACAAACGTATTATCAAATTTGCGAGGCATGACATAATTTAAAAACAAAAACATATCTATTTCTCTTCCATCGGGAAATATTTTGCTTCTCAAAGTATACTATTTGGATGTATTCTTTATTACGAGGATAGCGAAAATATCCTTAGAAATATGAGTATATGTTATAATTTTGAAAAGCACAGTTCACACCGGTGTGAAGGTAGCAGCCAGTTTCTAGCAGCCAATTCTTCCAGGCATTCGCGTGAAGTTAGCAGCCATGTTTTTTTGTACCAACTACTGACTTTTTAATGATTGCATCGTATTTCTAGCTAATTTTAGCAACAGACCGCCTCAAAAAGGGTAGTTTCGCCCTTAGCGCAAAAATATTCAGAAAGAGGTGTGCAGCTTTTCAAAAAAGCTAACACCATTGATGAATAATAAAAATGAATAAAGCGCATCATTTATATGTATGTATTGTTTTTTTACACCTGACGTAGGGGTAGTTTACACCCTCAGAACATAGGCGCTTTTTATAACTCCCACCTTGTTAGAAACAGAGTTAAAAGCTAAAAAGAAATGAATAGTGTTTTTCTAGTAGCTAAGAGGTAATTTCTTTGGACCCGTCGAAGGGGTTGATTTCACCATTTGAACGTCAAAAAATGCGGTTTTTGGCATTTCTCACCTAGCCAGCAATAAAGTTACAGGGTAAAGATGAATCGAAACTGTTCCTTTCATTAGTAGCTATAAGGCCACATAAATCCCATCTTCTTCGGAGCCGTCGAAGGGGCGGATTTCACCACTTGAACGTCAAAAATGCGTTTTTTGCATTTCTCACGTAGCCAGGTATAAAGTAACAGGCTAAAAATGAATCAAAAGTGTTCCTTTCATTAGTAGCTATAAGGCCACATAGATCCCAGCTTCGGAGCCGTCGAAAGGGTTGATTTCACCACTTGAACGTCAAAAATGCGTTTTTTGCATTTCTCACGTAGCCAGGTATAAAGTAACAGGCTAAAAATGAATCAAAAGTGTTCCTTTCATTAGTAGCTATAAGGCCACATAGATCCCAGCTTCGGAGCCGTCGAAAGGGTTGATTTCACCCCTTGAACGTCAAAAATGCGGTTTTTGTATTTCTCACCTATCCAGAAATAAAGGTACTGACTAAAAATGAATCAAAAGTGTTCCTTTCAATAGTAGCTATAAGGCCACATAAATCCCATCTTCTTCGGAGCCGTCGAAGGGGCGGATTTCACCACTTGAACGTCAAAAATGCGTTTTTTGCATTTCTCACGTAGCCAGGTATAAAGTAACAGGCTAAAATTAAATCAAAAGTGTTCCTTTCATTAGTAGCTATAAGGCCACATAGATCCCAGCTTCGGAGCCGTCGAAAGGGTTGATTTCACCCCTTGAACGTCAAAAATGCGGTTTTTGTATTTCTCACCTATCCAGAAATAAAGGTACTGGCTAAAAATGAACCAAAAGTGTTCCTTTCATTAGTAGCTATAAAGCCACATAAATCCCATCTTCTTCGGACGTCGAAGGGGCGGATTTCACCACTTGAACGTCAAAAATGCGTTTTTTGCATTTCTCACGTAGCCAGGTATAAAGTAACAGGCTAAAAATGAATCAAAAGTGTTCCTTTCATTAGTAGCTATAAGGCCACATAGATCCCAGCTTCGGAGCCGTCGAAAGGGTTGATTTCACCCCTTGAACGTCAAAAATGCGGTTTTTGTATTTCTCACCTATCCAGAAATAAAGGTACTGACTAAAAATGAATCAGAAGTGTTCCTTTCATTAGTAGCTATAAGGCCACATAGATCTCAGCTTCGGAGCCGTCGAAAGTGTTGATTTCACCCCTTGAACGTCAAAAATGCGGTTTTTGTATTTCTCACCTATCCAGAAATAAAGCTACTGGCTAAAAATGAATCAAAAGTGTTCCTTTCATTAGTAGCTATAAGGCCACATAGATCCCAGCTTCGGAGCCGTCGAAAGGGTTGATTTCACCCCTTGAACGTCAAAAATGCGGTTTTTGTATTTCTCACCTATCCAGAAATAAAGGTACTGACTAAAAATGAATCAGAAGTGTTCCTTTCATTAGTAGCTATAAGGCCACATAGATCCCAGCTTCGGAGCCGTCGAAAGGGTTGATTTCACCCCTTGAACGTCAAAAATGCGGTTTTTGTATTTCTCACCTATCCAGAAATAAAGCTACTGGCTAAAAATGAATCAAAAGTGTTCCTTTCATTAGTAGCTATAAGGCCACATAAATCCCATCTTCTTCGGAGCCGTCGAAGGGGCGGATTTCACCACTTGAACGTCAAAAATGCGTTTTTTGCATTTCTCACGTAGCCAGGTATAAAGTAACAGGCTAAAAATGAATCAAAAGTGTTCCTTTCATTAGTAGCTATAAGGCCACATAGATCCCAGCTTCGGAGCCATCGAAAGGGTTGATTTCACCACTTGAACGTCAAAAATGCGTTTTTTGCATTGCTCACGTAGCCAGGTATAGTATAGTTACAGGCTAAAAATGAATCAAAAGTGTTCCTTCATTAGTAGCTATAAGGCCACATAGATCCCAGCTTCGGAGCCGTTGAAAGGGTTGATTTCACCACTTGAACGTAAAAAATTCGTTTTTTTGCACTTCTCACCTATCCAGAAATAACCTCTTTTCCCTCAACGCAATGTTTTACACATGTCACGAAAAATATTATACACATAATGGGAAAACATAATTACAATTTCAATTTCCGAATTTTATGGCTTTGAACTCATTTCCTCTATCAGTGGAACGGACTGCTATAACTGCTCGGAAAGTATAGCTCATATTTTAATGACCTTTGACACTAGGGGTGGTAAGCACCAACCGAGAGGATTCAAAACTAAGATAGTTTGTTGCTTGAAATGTATGAAATTAATGATGATATTAGTTCCTTATATGAATGAAGTAGAGCAGTGTAGTTTTTTTATATATCGAAGCAGCCGCGCAGGCAGAAGCCTAAATGCCGGAACACCGCGGTTGCTATGATGATCCCAAAGAAATTTTGTTAATACGATTTTTGAACTGCCTGAGGTTAATAGAACTGGGAAAAGCTTCCTCTTGTAGATTGATCCACAATCTCGACACCCTCGGGACAAAGGAGCGGTCGTATCGGCCAGTTCTGGATGTACGAAGTTCGACACGGTTAGGATGGGACGCCAAAGTCAGGCGGGTCTGTCTTTCAGGCACATCGCAAGGCGGCATCATGGAAGATAGCTCTGAGGAGCAAAGCCCGTTGGTGTAACGGTAGAAAAGAGCTAGATCGCCGACAGTCCGCCGGTGCGAAAGAGTCCCGAGACTGTCTGTTAGAGAAGAGTAATCGATCAGTCGGACCGCCCCCTCCTCTGGACAGCATCGAGCATGGATAATGTAGTCGGGGCGGCAGCACCCCAAACGTGTGAGCAATACTCGAGGCTAGGCCTTATCTGGGCCTTGTATAGAGTGAGAAGGTCATGCGGAGAAAAGTACTTCTTAGCCCTAAACAAATAGCCTAGGTTTTTCCCAGCGGCTGCAGCTATTGACGAGATGTGTTCGTGTCAGATCAGGTCCTCGGTGATCTGGACTCCGACCAGCCGAAATCAATGGCTCTTTGGTAGAACTCGGCCGTCCATCGAAACTGTATGAGCGCTAGGACGCTTTTTGTTCGTCAAAGTACAGTACTGTGTTTTGGAAGCATTTAACTGTACAAGATTGTTGCGTCCCCAAGCAGTGATAGCCTCCAGGTCTCTTGTCAGAGAGGAAGTCATCGCTAGTCTTCTTTTTTCCAACTCAGCGGCAGAGATCGGCTTGTCACTCTGAATTCCTGCATGTAGAGTGCTGTCATCAGCGAAGCTGTGGATTGGGTTGATCGTGCAGGAAAGGAGGTCGTTGATATGTAACAGAAACAGTGCCGGAGCCAATTCGATCCCTGGGGAACACCCGCGTTGACGGTGTGGGATGAAGAGGAGAACCCGTCAATTACGACGGATATCTTGCGGCCACAGATAAAGTCAGCCACCCATCTGCAAAGCTTTTCTGGGAGGACATAGGATGGAAGTTTGCTTAAAAGGGCAGCGTGCCACAGCTGATCGAACGCTTTCGTGATGTCAAGAGCAACGACATGAGCCTCATCATAAGACTGGATTAGTTTACTCCACAATTGCGTGACGTAACCTAGGAGGTCCTCTGTGGATCGTTGGTGCCGGAAACCATACTGCCTGTCGCTAGTCAAGCTGTGACGTTCGAGGTAGTCCAGAAGCTCGCGATTTATGCACCTCTCCATCACCTTACTTAAAACAGAAAGCAGAGCTATAGGCCTGTAGTTGTAAGGGTCGGTCTTAGTCCCCTTTTTTGAGATGGGTTGGACATGAGCAAATTTCCAGTTTTCTGGGAAGGTGCCGGATTCATAAGATATCTGGAAGAGACGCGAAAGAACTGGAGCAAGCTCCGCTGCACACCTCTTCAGTACAATGGCAGGATCCAGTCCGGACCAGAAGCTTTGTTGATGTCGAACCACAAGAAGACTCGTCTTACGGTCTTATGCCTGAATGTTATCTCCCGCATAGTGTAGGGAACCCTTTGAATTGACGGCACTTGGGCGTTGGGGGGGGGGGAGGGTAGTTGGCAGCAAAGATCTTGGCTAGCACTTCCGCATTGGCCTTTGAGTTGAATACAATTGTTCCATCCTGACACGTAAGTGGTGGAAGGCTACTGTGTGAGAAGTTCTTTTCTATCTGCTTGGCCAGCGTCCAAAGACCGACCGCCATTGCGCTGCGACATTACCCTGTGCCTAACTTTTATATCGTGCTGGTTTTTGGCACTGCGAACCGCTTCTTTATATTTGTTTCTGGCCTCAACGTCGGCTTGTCTGTTCTCTACAGTTGGGTTTTGTAAGAAGGTTTGGGAAAAAATGTACGTTTAATATCGCTTCAGTG